AAAATTAAAGCTGACTTCCATGGGGTAGGGAACTTACCACTAGCAATACACTCATTAACAATATGTGTCAGATACGGGATCAAATGAGGAACTGTCAATTTTATAACTTTTGCGTTTAAATTATCCCAGCCCATTGCGTTGCTTTTTATGCCACTTATAATTTGTACGACATCAAGGTCCTTGACAGACTGAAATGAAAACCCGCACGATGGTCTCCCAGCGTTGTTATAGAAACTACAAAGCTCATGATCGATGTTATTGCTTGTAGAGGTAACGGAATTGACAAAAAAGCGGTTAATTTCATCTGGGTGACATAGGTGTAGTGGGACAGCATCAATTGTTTTTTTAGGTATAGCAAATTGTTTTAGTGCCAACCAGGGATTTTTATTAGTGTTAATGGATAGATCTAAATATGCTTTTTTTTCTCTGTTGATGGCACCATTCACATAATTGCGCAAGTCCTTATAAAAAACCCACTTCGCCGTGGTATTACATTTTTTAAAGTCTTTCAGAGCTTTATCTCTCAGATTTTGCATTTCAATAATTGTTGGAGTTATCCACGGCGTTGCAGGCCTCTTAAAAGTACACCTTCTCAATGGCGCATGCCTATCAATTATCTCCACTATGCCTTCTGTTAGAAACATAACCTTATCGTCAACATCTATCATATCAAATATGCTATAAAAAGGAAAATGACAAAGATCCAAATAGAAACTCTCATAGTCGAAATCTTTAAAAACCCTAACCACCTTGGAAGTAGGCAGTTTTCTAATTTTTTCCACTTTCAACTTACACCATGTTAAGTCATGGTCTGATAGGTGGTGAACCTGAATTACACCGTATGATTCGATCAGATCAGAATCAGGGACACATATTAAATCTAAAAGCGCCGAACTAGTAGCAGTTGTTCTGGTTGGGGAATCAATTATTTGTACTAAATCAAACGTATCCAACAATTTAATTAATTCCAACGTTGAAGGACTGTCAACACTTAAGAAATTTATATTAAAGTCGGCCATCATGATTACAACATCATTCATGGGTACTATACGGGATAAAGCCGTTTCAATTTCCGTTAGAAACAAGGTACAATTTAATTTAGGAGGTCTGTAAACCACACCCACAGCGTAGGACTTTTTATTATATTTGAATTTAACCCATAATTGCTCCACATCACCGTCAACATCAATAAGTGAGCAAGCAGCAGATGCTCTTATGTACAGCGCCACACCCCCGCCCCTGCCAACCCTGTCCCGCCTGTATATATAATCAGGTATACTCATTAAATCTGAGGTAACTTCGGGAGAGAGCCAGGTTTCCGTTATTCCGACAATATTAAAATCGTTAAGGGTTATTAATTACAGAAGCAACGCCGTCGAGGGCCGCTAGCAGCGAGCGCGAGTTTAGGTGAGCCAGGGTGAGTTTCTTACTTGTTATTGTTTAGTATACGCTAATTCTAAGTTGACCAATAAAAAAAGCAATAATTGCAATATTGTAAACACATAAAAAAAGAATAGATCAAAAAATCAAATTAATCTAATTTGTAAGCGGTACGTAATTCGTTCATTACATGCGTAGAAAGAAACTATGAATAAGAAACACTATCAACATCAAAACGATCGAGTACAAAAAGTATCACTCAAATTCAAATCTATGATTTTCAGTAGTTCCATTTACCATAGTATAAATTGCCTCCCAAAGACCACACATTTCTTTTCCCATGTGTATCACCCACAATTTTCAATTGTTGGACCCGACGGGTTGTCAGATCTTCTCGTATGACTATTTTTGAACCCTTCAAATTCCTCTACGCGCGGTCGCTTATCGCTTTTTTTGCCGACACGATAACAGACATCAATATAATTAGGTGTAACATTAACCTCTAGTTAGTAGTGTAAGAATGCCGGTTCTAGAGCGGAAGTTGCTTACTTTTAATACCAACCTAATTTTTTTTCCCCCAAACTTTGGTTGGTACCCCTCCCCATACTTAATACATTGAGACGTGACGTCACCGCAGGAGCAACTTCCGCTCTAGAACCGGCATTCTTACACTACTTTAGTTTGTTTATAGAATATCGGTAAAGAAGACAAACTAGCGTCAGATTTTCTCTATCAGTCTGTGCAACTATATTGTCAACAATGTTCAATACTGCAGTAACACAACTAAATCCAGCACGATATCCAGCTATTTTGATATTCCGATTCCGTATGTCTGGCATTCCAAAAATTCTAATACTGATTTTTCTCGAATATTGTTCAAGTACGTCGGTCTTGTCTTCGACAAGTTTCCTCAAGGACGAGTTTTTCTCATTTAAATCGGATACTTGTTTTTCAAATGTTGCAATCTTTGATTCATACTTATTAATAATACTTGTTAGAGTTGTTAGAGGTATTTAAGAAGGATTCCTTTATTAATTCAATCTCTTCTATAGTTGGGGGAATAGTGGAAATGAAGGAGAAATAGTAGAAGAGATTTAATTAATACAGGAATCCTTCTTAAATACCTCTAGGATAATTTCTTCACATTCAGATACCTGGGATTTAGTAATAATCATTTCAACCACAATTTGCTTCTTCCTCCCTTATTTCATTCTTTCTTAACCCTAGAATACTAACGGTATGTTGTTTATCCGTTAATACTAACGACACGTCAAATTTACGTACTATCGTTTATCATGCTTGTATGATTACGTTTTCATAAATTAGCTGTTGTGGAAGAAAATAGAAAGAAATTGAGGACGGTTAATGTTTTTATTAATTTGATTTTTTCTAACTTGTATCACAGTTACAAAAGAAAACGAAATTAAGCTTGAGCATTTCGCAAACTTTCGTTCCAATTTTCTTTAGAGTGAACCTCAAATAAAAGGTAAATGTGCATAGCACAAATAGCCTTTTTTTATTAGACATCTAAGAATAAACAAATAAATCATAAACATAAACAAATGAAGATAAATCATTTCTGTTGTTGGCTACAGTTTATAAAAGGTGTCCCAACAAGAGCGCCGGATTTAAATATGCCGCAATTTTATTAATACGAGTTGTACGGCGTTTTTTGTTTGGCAGTTGTCACGTATAGACCGCGCGATTTATGAATATGGTGAACTATTCAAACGAACAACGTCTAACTATTGTTAAAACACATTACAAAAATGGTGAAAGTTTTGCGAAAACTGTTCGCCAATTACGTCAAGTTTTCGGTCGCAATAATGCGCCAAATGAATCAACAGTGAGGCGTTTAATTGCAAAATTTGAGACCAAATTTATGCTGGTGGATCAGAAGATCAATGTTCGTCGTCGTCCTTGTCCGTCACATGAAAACATAGCCACAGTAAGGGAATCTGTGGTCGATAATCCAGGAACTTCCATTCGGCATCGTGGTCAAGAATTAAACATTTCCAGAAGCACTATGCAACGCATTTTGGTAAAAGATCTGCATTTGCACGCGTACAAGGTTCAATTGGTGCAAGAAATCAAGCCAAGAGACCATGCGCAGCGCCGTGGATTTGCTGATTGGGTGTTGGAACACCATCAAATTAATGCGGACTTTTCGAAGAAAATCATTTTTTCAGATGAGGCACATGTTTAACTCGACGGATACGTAATTAAACAAAACTGTCGAATTTGGGTTGCTGAAAATCCTCGTGTGGTACTCAATCAACCAATACATCCACCGCGAGTAACTGTTTGGTGTGCATTTTGGACTGGCGGAGTGATTGGACCTTATTTCTTTGAAAATGCGGCTGGAAATGCGCAAACTGTTAATGGTGAGCGGTATCGGGAAATGTTAACGGAATTTTTGTGGCCCGAATTGTATGTCATTGATGTGGAGGACATGTTTTTCCAACAAGACGGTGCGACCCAAGGTTTATATATAACAGGTTGTCTAGATTCGTACGCAACCATACTGCGTATTACGTCACACGGAGCACCACCTGGCCATGAGGTTGCGTGCGCAATCCGTTATTGCTTACGTCACGAAACACTTCTGCTCTTACCCCTCGCCCACAAACTAAAATCAAAGTATTGCAGCATAGGAAGTTAGACAACCTTTAATATATAAACCTTGGGTGCGACCTGCCATACAGCACGTGAAACAATGGCGTTACTGCAGACCAAGTTTCCGGGCCGTGTCATTTCTCGATTTGGCGATCAACATTGGCCACCAAGATCATGCGATCTAACACCCATGGACTTTTTTCTTTGGGGCTATGCAAAGGAAAAAGTGTATGCGAATAAGCCTGAAACAGTTGAAAATCTTAAAGAGGAAATACGACGCGTTATTTGTGAAATACAGCCACGTTTATGCGAAAACGTTATTGAAAATTTCAACAAAAGAATAACCCTGTGCCAGAGGTTTCGTGGTGGCCATTTGCCTGACGTTGTATTTCATATTTAATCGGAACTATTTTTCTTTATGTTAAAATCAAAATATTTGCTTAATTCAAAAAATAAATGTGTTTTTCTTTAAAATTAAATCCGGCGCCCTTGTTGGGACACCTTTACATATTTTTATCTGATGTTCACCACACAACGCGCGAAGGCATACATAACAAATTGTGGTCGTCATTCTCTTTTTCACTGTAGGACATAATCTAGTAACTTCTTTTCCCTTTCTCTTGAGGGTATTCCTGATTCTCTGCAATAGGCTGATCTTGTAAAACTTCACACAGAGAGTCTTTCAATTTTCTTGACAAGGAGAGGCAATTTTCTTGTTGCCATGGTCTGGTGAGTTGTTCTTGACGTTTAAGAACAAATTCTTGCCTTGATAATATCCTCTTTTTATTGAATTATGGTGATGTATGACATAGGAATTAACTGCTGCAATGTTGAGCATATTGTAGAAAAAACAGAGAGGCCATCTCCTGGTTTTTCTATTGACGCACATACTCTGAACTATTTGGTCAAAAGAATCAACAGCTCCTTTTGTCGCATTATAGGTGTGGATTATATCCGTTTTTTTTTTGTTTCTTGATTTATAGAGTCTGGAATGCATAGTCGAAAGTAAAAGAACTATTTTATTTTGTTTAGGTTTATCAGACACAAGAGTCGTTTTATCATCAAATGCAAGCACAGAAATTCCACATTTCCAGGATTTATGGTCTCGTAATTCCATAGGTATCGTATTTCTGACTTATTTTTACGAAGAGTGCAACTATTGTTAGATTGTATGGTTTATTCAGTATCCACTGTGATGTTGCGGTTACTGCCGTATAGCGGTGTTGTCAATCTTGTGACAAAATAATTGGCTAATGGATCTCCATGCGTTTTTGTAGATTTTCCGAGGTAAGGACTTGCATTAATTACGTACTTATCGGCAACATCCCAGAGAATCACAAGTTTGATGCCATATTTATTAGGTTTGTTGGGCATATATACAGGTGTCCCGAAACTCAACGTCAAGCGGGCGCCGGGTGAGAGGCCAACCCATACCTGTTCTGGTAAAAATGAGAAAAAAATTCCATGTCTCTTAGTTAAGTGGCAATAAACATACTTTTGAAAATGTTAAAAATCGGTCCCGTACATCATATCTTTAGGTACTACGGTCAGAAATGTTCGCAATTTAATAGTGATTTTTTTAATAATGTATTCCTTGTGAACCATGCTACTATAGAAGTCACAAATCAAACAACAAAAGTCGTTAGTTTTGCAAAAAAATATATTCATTTGATTGAGTTCAAGTTGAAAGAATTTATGTCTATCAAGTTTGACACACGATTTCTAAAAAAAGGAGTAGTACAACACCCTTGGCAAGTAATTTTAAAAGGCCTGTTTAGTTAAGTTTCCAACATGGTACAACACTTGCCATTGTTCTTGTCATAAAAAATATTATGGCCGGTTTTTCTGCAAACTCTCTGTAGCATTGTTCATGAGGAATACATTATTAAAAAAATAACTATAAAATTGCGAACATTTCTGACCGTAGTACCTAAAGATATGATGTACGGGAACGATTTTTAACATTTTCAAAAATATGTACATTACCACTTAACTAAGAGACATAGAATTTTTTTCTTATTTTTACCAGAACAGATAAGAGTTGGCCTCTCACCCGGTGCCCGCTTGACGTTGAGTATCGGGACACCTGTATATACGGATCTTCAGATCAGCTTCCTCTGGTTCTTTTCCAGGCTCATTTGGGTGTCTACTCAAGGCGTCAACATGTGACATCCTTTCTCCCGATCGATGTATAACAGAAAAGTCGTATTCTTGTAACTTCAAGAGCCATCGCCCAATTCTCGGCGTCATATCTTTCTTTGTCATGATTGTTTTCAGAGAATTGCAATCAGTAACTACTGTAAAGTGTCGTCCCAATACGTATATTCTGAATCTATCTATGGCTTCCACTACTGC